TGTGTGTGTGTGTGTGTGTGTGTGCGTGTGTGTGTGCGCGTGTGCGCGTGGGTCTGTGTGTGTTCCTCCAGCACCCTCCCTTGCCCCAGTACAACTCTCCGGTCCTGCAGAGACTCCAGGTGGTCTTCAGTCACTACTTTCTTACTATACTTGGCAATGCGGTGGCACTGGCCAATGTCATGTGCATATGTGTAAGTTGCACGCACACACACACACACACACACACACACACACATATGTACACATGTATATACTCATACACCCTCACACGCTGACGGAGCTGTCCACCATATGGCAATATTACCTTTGTGTGTGTGTGTGTGTGTGTGTGTTTCAGACCGTCCTGGTGCTGAATGCTGAAAAGTCCACGGCAGAGAGAGACAACTACATCCTCGAGGTGAACACAGTCATATAATGTCTTACAGATGTTCATGGTCCACAGAGGATGATTCTTAATCAACCCCCTAATCTTTCCCCCAGTTTGTTAATGTAGCCGGGCCGACCGCTCGTGCATGTTAGTGCTTATGAGTCTTTGTATGCCCCGCTGGTTAGCTAACGGCCGCCACTCTTCACTGCGCTCATACAGCGGTTACCGCCGACAATGCCGTCAGTCGGGACACGGCATTTTCGCGGAAGCGTAGCACCCACCCTCTGGTTCCCCCCTTCAGGTAAACACCGTTAGCAATGTCAGCACTGTTGCCGTTGTTAGCACCAGCTCAGCCGTCGCCACGTTGAGAGCCGTGTAGAGGCAATCCCTCAATCATAGATTTGCTCTAAATTCTCTTTGAAATGATTGTCCGTTAAGTGACTATCTACCGCCGAATGAGGTAACACAATGGTGACTGAGCCTGTGGCCCACTGATGAAAGCCATTGCATTTGCAGTATTACGAACTTGGTGACCGTGGCGACATTCCTGGGAAAAATGACAGGCAGCTCATGCTGTTTGGTTCTCTCATAAGTGAGATCCATAAACACACCTTCAATTAACGCTTTGGTTCATGACACAGTAACTCAAAAATGTATGCCTGAAATTGATTGTGAATATTGAACCTTGATGTTTTTGATGACCAGGTCAAGCTTCTTTTTTTTCACACATGAATAATATTAAGGATTCACACCACTTATATTATATATTATTACTTATAAAAACCGGTTCTCTAGCTCCCCCAATAAGACAAAGGGTTAAAAAATAGCAAAATCATCAGCAGGTCACTTGTTTCATCTAATGGTCTAAAATGAACATTGCAGCTTTGTTAAAACTGTGACCATAACCTTCTTCATAAATGAACTGACCTCAGTCTTCCACTGTCCACCCGTCAGATCATCAACCTGTGCTTCATCCTTTACTACCTGTTTGAAGTGTGCGTAAAGATCTTCGCCTTCGGATGGAAGGGGTACCTGTCCTACAGGAACAACATCTTTGACTGCGTCCTCACCATCCTGCTCTTGGTAACTGCCTGCTCTAACCACTCACTCTTTATTGTTGTCATATTTAGTACAACACTATGCACTTTAGTCAAATGTGAAAAGATGACACCAAGGACACCTTTTTCTGTTACACTGCCCACACAATATTATCGCTAGCAGGACAAGCTTTTAATATTGTGTATAGTGTCCCATAGTATTCTGTCTGTTGATCTTTGATGGCTTGAAGGTTTGGACAGGATTTAGTACTGCATGTTTAGTATGAACAAAATACTTGACCCAGCTACAGCAGCGTTTTAAAAGTGTTGCAGTGTCATTGAGTGACCATGTGTCCATCCTGATTATTAAAGGAGTAATTCATCATTTAAGGGGATGGCTAGCCTGGCTTTGTCAAAAGATAATACAATCCACCTACTGGCCCCTCTAAAGCTCACTTAGCAACATGTTATGTCTCATTCCTTTGATCTGTACAAGAATTAAACAAATTAAACTATTTCTTGGCAGTGGCCAGCCACCAGCTGAGACTGTTGATCTTCTCAACTTACTTTCGTCAAGAAAGTTATTTTTCCAAAATGTCTGCATCTCTGCATCCCAAATCTTGCATGCCTCCAACGGTGAACGAAGAATCAAAAAATTAAGTAAATCCTCGATGAATTGAAGTAAATGGGGGCCGTGATTAACAACAGCAAATCTATATCAAAGCATCCGTTTAACAACTCTCACACAACTTGTGTGTGTAAGCCAAGTCTAATTAATCCAGTTGTATTCTCACTACTTCCCAAACACGTGCATTGTCGTTGGAAACTGTTTGGAAAAGGGCAGACACTTTCAAGAATTACTTGGCAGGTGATTGGATGAACCTTCTGTCAATCAAACTCTGGCTGAAGCCAGCCGGAAGAAACAAACATCTTTTCCATGGAGAAAATTATTCAGTGTTGTTCTTTGTTCTTCTGTCATTGAAGAAATACTGATAAAACTAATGCTATAGCAGTGTCTACCCTAACCTCTATAGGAGCCGCTACTGTTGTTTAGAGCGAGCAGTCGCCTCTCCGTGTCGTCCCGCTCACACCTAAGCCACGCCCCTAGCTGCCAGTAGCTCCTCACAGGACGCTGATTGGTCCGTGCTCTGGCTTACCGGACTCAAACGCATTACTTTAAGCCTGACAAGATGGATCTTCTTGTGATATGTCTGCAAAACGTCTTTGACGGAACATCAACACTATATCCTCTTCATATTCTGTTGATCATTTTAATTTATTTTTTAAATGTCTTAAACTAAAATTCTGGCCAGACCTTACACGTTGCTCAATTTATATGAAAAGCTCACCATCGCAAATTTCATGACCTCACTCAATTGTAACACGTCTCCTCCTGTTATTTGCCCAACCCTCCCTCGTATGCAAATAAAAAAAGGAGACACTGTGTAAACACTGAATTTAGCCTGAAGTGTCTGTTTGACATTGTTTTGCCTGTTGCTCGACATACCTGATGGATGCAAACACCACACCACATGAATGACCGTGTTGCTCCGTAACTGCTGGATGTGTATATAAGCAACTGTCACCATGTCACCTTAAAAGTTTACCAAAGGTCAATTTTGACTTTTGGACTTGTATCTGCTGCCCTCGAGTGGCCGAAAAGATCCGTTATTACAGGTTTAATGAAGATAAAGGTCTCATGAACATTGGATTTGTTGCTATTGTTACCACTTCAGATATTCATCACTGATCTTATGTGTGTTTTCCCCCATCAGGTCCTACAGATTACTATATTTGTCACCTACAGGCTTCCTTATTCTCAGTGGTAGGTTTGTATTTTCTTCTAAACACTTTAAAGGGAATGTTTGTGTATGGTGATTCACATTTGAAGTCGCAGGAATGTTTCAAAATAAAATCAAGTTTTATGTTTCAAATGTAACTTTATTTAACAAGATCCAGGACAAACAAACAAAAAATCTAAAATAATAAAAAAACAACGCACATGCACAAATAGAAATACACATGTAAGCCAAAATCTAAAATAAGAGTATCAGCTAAGAACATAGACAAATGGCAATAGAGGCTTTTCCCGGAGGCTGGAGCACAAAGCATTTTCTTTCCCATCTCTACAACAGAAACAGACGGCGATTCCACATCTTTGGATCAAACGTATTCCAGATTTTAAGGATACATTGAAGTGAATTACAAAGACACAACTGTTTAACCAAACTTACTGACGTTTATAAAGACGCGTCCAACATTCCAACCGTACCTTGAAAGTTGAATGTAGCGATTCTGGAGAAAGATTGTTGTTATTTGAACTTGACATCCAAACAAATTCAAACTAGAATTGTCACGATGTAGTTTACATCCATGTCTGTCCAAATTGTCGTCACTTCATCATCTTAACAGTGTTAGACATCTGTGTGAAATTGTCAAAATTAGCATATGAATTCTTGAGTTATGTCAAAAAACGTGTTTTGTGACCTTTGATCACCAAATTCTAATGAGACCACGTCGACATTTATGCCAAATTCAATTTGCCGACAGCACCATTTAAATGTGCAGTTGCCAGTTATGTTTGAATTTGTTATTCAGGAGTGAAGATGCTGCTTATGAAAGGCTCGAAATGCTTATTAACTATACACAGGAATATAATTTGTAGCGGCAGGAGACAAAAGCTCACAAAGGGAGTTCTAGAAATGTAAATTACCTGCTAATTGTCTTCTGTGTGTGTGTGTGTGTGTGTGTGTGTCTCACAACAGGGACCCTTCCTCTCAGGGTATAATGTCTCTGTGGGAGATGGTTCGTTTGATCAACATGCTGATTGTGTTCCGCATCCTGCGCATCATCCCAGATATCAAGGTACGCAGCACTGTTTTTTTTTTCATAAAAACTGTCCCAGAACAAATGTAGTAGCACTCACACACTCATTGTTCGCTTATCTGAGTATTATGAAAAGAGCAAAAAATTGCATGCCTAACCAAGACATTTATGGGTATTAAAAATAAAAGGATATCCAGTGAAACACTATAATGTGAAACGTTGTTGTGCTTAGCCATGATAATAACCGGTTCACAAGAGTTCAGCATTGTGTCCTCTCTCACAATGCAAATCTTCTGTTACAGACACTGCAGTCTAATCACTATTACGTTCCTGTGACTGTCTTTCTGTCCCTTTTCTCTTGTTGTCCAGCTCATGGCTTTGGTCGCAAGTACAGTGTTGGACCTGATGAAAAACCTCAGAGCCTTTGCAGGGATACTGATCGTGAGTCAGCATACTTAAAGGAGCAGTGTGTAGGACTTAGAAATGGAATATAATATTCATAACTATGTTTTTCATTTGTGTAAGAATTATTGTGTTTTCTGTAGCTTAGAATGAGCATTTCATGAGCCGTTCACATCTACATAGGGAGCGGGTCGTCTTCCATGGAGTCCGCCATGTTTCTACTGTAGCCCAGAACAGACAAACCAGGCGGCAACCTCCGGGTCTGAAAATTGAAGCCAATGCAGAAAGTGCCTTAAACCTGCATTCTTTCTAATGACCAGCAGGGGGCGACTCCTCTGGTTGCAAAAATAAGTCAGATTGTATAGAAGTCTATGAGAAAATGACTCTACTTCTCACTTGATTTATTACCTCAGTAAACATTTAAGCATGTGTTTATGGTCTCAATCTCTAGTTTCAAGTCTTCTTCAATACAACATGGTGTTCATTTAGTAAATTAGAGTCAAATAGACCATAAAGGAAGTTGTGCTTTAGGGCGGGGCTACCTTGTGATTGACAGGTTGCTACCACAGCGTTGTCCAGTCTGGAAGTTGTCAGTGTTTTCGTCTTACAGCTTGAACCCTTCCACAGAGTCTTTTCAGTTCATTAAGGTTAATTCTATCTGTTGTGGTTGCTTAAAAATGTTTTATTCAGGGTTCGGTTGGAATTTCCATCCTGTCATCCCACTTTTGGTACCAAAAAACAAAAATGCCGACCCTGAGACTTCAAAACCGTACTCCACAAACCAATGGGTGACAACTCGCTGACAACGTCCACTTCTCATATACACTGAGACAAACCAAACACTGTCTCTGGAGAGGGCCTTTCCCGTTTTTTACGTTACCTGAACGCCACATTTGGTTCTCTACATGCTTGGAAAGGGAGGGGTGAGCGGAGGGGTATTCAGTTGGTTGTAATCTGCAACCGCACCGTTAGATGCCACTAAATCCTACACACCGCTCCTCTAAATCAACCAGGTGATCTACTCTTACGGTTTGCCATAGAAATATGTTCGAAATCAGTAACTTTTGTTTCAATGGAGCTCAAGAAGAAAAAATCCTAAATATAAAAAGTTTTAATATTATTTTACATGTATTTCAAAGGGCGTCTACCTACTAGTGTGTGAAAACCTTTTATTTGCTATTTTGGTCATACTCATGCTAGTATTCAGTTTTCACCTGAGAGACGTGCAGAGCAGTTGCCATGTAAGTGGAGAAAGCCTAACATGGGGAATGGTCTGGGGTCTTCTTCACGCTCTCTCTGCAGGTGGTGTACTATGTGTTTGCCGTGGTTGGGATCTGGCTGTTTGAGGGAGCCATTGAACCTCCTTCAGAGATGAGGTATGAGGTCATCTATAGTACTTTTTATATTTTAAGCTAAAATTCTGGCCAGATCGTACACACTGCACCTTTTAAGTAACCTGTAGACTGAACAACCCGCTCTGTTGCTGCGTCGGACTGTCCATCCAAGATGAACAGAGCTATTTGTTACAGATCAGAAACATGAGGCTACATTTGTTACATAGAGTGACGGTATGAATCTGAGCCGTCCCTGATTTTGTGTGTGTGTGTGTGTGTGTGTTTCCAAGTGTGCTCACCAATACCTCCATGGGTAACATCACCTCTAACTTCAGCATGACGTGTGGCACCTATGAGCAGCTGGAATACTGGCCAAACAACTTCAATGACTTCGCTGTGAGTAACAACACCAGTCGGATCTTCATCGTTGTGTACGAGATCAAATCTGGGATCAAAAATCTATGTTTTTGATTGATATATATTTATTCCTTATTGTGTGGCACTTTATAACATAATTATTTACCTGTTTGACATTTGCGGATGATGCGCTATCGCTGTCAATGATGGTTTACTGATCGTCGTTTAGTGATGGGTTAGGGACAGTGATTTAATCATTTTGCGCCGCTGAAGACCGCTATGATATACAGCGAACAAAAGTGCAGCAGAGTGAAAGAAGAGTATCTTTCCCTCCCTCTCTCTCTCTCTCTCTCAGGCAGCCATCATGTTGCTGTACAATGTCATGATAGTCAACAACTGGCAGGCCTTCCTGGAAGCATACAGCAGACACACCACAGAGTAAGAAATCATTTGACAGGCACAGCAGCTGACGCTGGTGACGGTGGTGCCGGGTGATGACGATGCTGAAGAGCGCGTTTTATTTTTTCCCAGGTGGTCGAAGATCTACTTCGTGTGTTGGTGGCTCATCTCCTCTGTCATGTGGGTCAACTTGTTTGTGGCGGTCATTTTAGAGGTCAGTTCCCTCAGACGGATGCATACATACATACATTCATTCATTCATAACTTGAATAACGCGCAACAACACAGAAGAAGACCTTATTCACTGGTGGTAACTTCTAATGCAGTTTAATACTACAGGTCTCAGAATACTGGAGGCTCCAAAATAAAACAAAGTATTGTCGTTTAATAAAGAAGTC